ACGCCTGCACTAAGCTAGCCTGTTGGGCAAGAACTTCGACAACAAATTCTCAGCTTATTTGCACATCTGCCTGAGGCGGTCAATCCTAGATGTAGGAGGGGGGAGGGACAGCAGACCGGTCCACTGTGCAGCGGCTGGACGGTGTGTGTGTGTGGGGGGGGGGGGGGCAGCCGGCTAGTCCATGATGAAAGAGGAGGGGGGGGGGGGGGGCAGAGGGGGTGGTGCAGTCCATGATGCAGGCAGCCAGTGTAAGATGCAGGGGGAGGGGGGGGGGGGGGGAGAGGGGAGGAGGGGGAGGAGAGGGGTGTACAAATGTACATAGTGCCCGTTTCTTGCACTATAATTATGTACAAGACTGCAAACAGGACCAATAATTGTCTATGCAACCTTTGTCCTTGTGCAAAGACTGTTCATCGCACATGCATGTAATACAATACTCTGTTACGGTCTCAGATTGAAGGAATAAATAATACGCAAGCACTGAGTTTATCATTCTTCAGTACTTTCTTCTGAGTTTATCTATCTACTTTGAGTTCAATGCTGTAGACAGCAAGCTTTTTCGGCCACGGATACCTCATCAGTACAGCCAAGAGCTTACTTTGATTCAAATGTTCTTCGTGAAGAGTGACGCAAACGACAGTGCAGGTTTATGTGTACTCACAGCTCCTAAGTTGACTTCTTTAGCCACTAAACTGAGTCAGGAAATTGAAAAATTTATTTTTAATTTTGTAATTGTAGCAACAACAAGGAGTAGTACTCACCGTGTCATTGAGGGATGAATACTAGCGACATAGCTGATAGAACTCTCTACTTGACGATTGGCTGTTGTGTATACAACTGCCTACTACTTTCCAGGAAGATATAGATGCTCCCAACTTTCTCTACCCGCTGGCGCTGAGAAAATCTTCTACTAAGTTCCATCTGCTGCTTTGCGAATGTCTCTGGCTATACTGCACTACTAACGTCTCCTTCAGCATGCACGAGATAATTATCATGACGTGAAACTTCATGACTAGTAGCTGCATACCTATAACACTTAGTGTATCGAGGAACAACATCATCCTGAATTTTTACCTCCACGAACATTTCTTCAAATTTCAAATCTTGAAACATTATTTGTTCACCAGCAAATTCACAGCAAAATTGACAATACGAAATTATAGCCTGCAATGGAGCCGCGAGTCCATCTCTCGAATTGGCAACCGTCGGACATCAGTACTTCAAAAGTAGTTCCGACAGAATGTAATTCCTGCTGTGGACGTTACTCGCTGAACCTTTAGAACTTCTTGAAAAGTCAAAGAGTGAAAATTCGATCGCGCCCCTAGGTGTACGATTATCGCACATGTGGCGGAAATATCTGTGTACGTGTATGGTCTGCACTAGATCTACAGTGTACGTTCTTCGACCACTGAACTGGTACTGAGCAGCAATCACGCCAACCCGGATTTGCCGTTGCATGCCAGTAAGCCATTTGCTGATTTGGCTAACGATTCAGTCTTTTCAAGCGTTTGTGTTCAACCTCACACTTCTAATTGCGTGCTCTAATTTTTGCCAAAATTGGGTTGTCTTTTTGTTTTGTTTCTTACTTTATAAGTTTATAGTTTGACGCTTTGCATGCCTTGTGAATAAGACCCATCTAAACACTAATCATGCCAACTGGAGTGTGAAAATATAAATTACTCCAATACACCAACATGCTGGCTGTCAAGCTTCAAAAGCCTGCAACCTTGTCGGATATCGCAAAATGAAGGTGACGGTAACTGTGGTCCCAGCTCATGCAGAATTACCTGTGCTATCTTCAAATGCTTGTTTAAAGTATGTACATATACTGCAGTATGACTACAACTAAAGTACAAGTACATGCAAGGGTAGCCCAGGCTGTGAACATAATAATTCTTTGTTGCCATCTTCAATAGGTCCGTCAAATACTACAACTGCTTCTCCTCTGATGAGTTCACTGTCATCTTTAAGGAACGAAACAAGGCTTGTCAGGAGTATTTGCTTTGGTGGAGTGTGGCTGGTGAACTGTTCGTGCTGCGGTCTGCAAGCGTCGTGTGGTCTCGTCGGGTCAAATGAAAAATCTATTATTGTGTTAAACTACCAGCAGTCCTCTCACTGAACCAACTGTGGCTCAAGATTTTTCTCAGAAGGGAGTTGTGAAAGGGTTTTCACGACACCGTCCCTGGTTGTCACCAAGAGTAGAATAGATCATCATGTTACACGTACACAAAACTTTATTCATAATTATGGTGGTAAACACGCACCTGGCAATATGGCTGTAAAAACACACCGGCCATTAATAATTAAACAACAGGAAGAAAGGAGATAAATGGCTGTAAATACAGTCTGATGTCATAAGAGATTTTCATTTTACTAGTACTAGTACGTCCTTTCACTCTTAGACCATGATCAATACTGCAGTGGACATGTTAATGCTAGGTGAAATGGAGATGGGGGTAGGGGATTCCCCTATCGTGATGAGCAGGAACAAAACAACTCAATCACATTAATAATGAACGACACCACAAACATTTTGAGGTGTATGAGAGTTGGGGGGGGGGGGGGGGGGAGGGGTCTGGTAGGGACTGGCAGCAATTTGACGCAAGTTTATATGAAGCCGATCGGGAAAACTAAGCGTCTGCAAAACTCATCAAAGTATTGCAAAAAGAAAAGGACGGCCGGTGGATCTTGGCAATAAAAATAATATCAAGAAGAGGAAACGAGAAGTAAACAGGAGAACACGAACCATAGAATAATATAATAGCAAAGATTGCAGTAACAGAGCAATGGGAATTCTGTGACACTCAGGCTCTCACCAGAAAAACGAGTAGTTCCAGAAATGGCTATGGTCACTATGTCACAGAAAATAACGCAGAAAATATATTGCAGCCGGGCAAATGAACAAATAGAATTTCTAGTATCGAAAACCAAATGAAAGAAAAACTTATCTCTTCGGTCTTGTGCAGTGTGTGTGTGCACAGAAGATACATGACAGGAACCACACAAAGTAATATACCTGAGAGTTAGGGCATTGGGTTTGCTAGTGATACTGCTGCTGCTGCTGCTCCTGCAGCTACTGCCGCTGCTGATGCTTGTGCTGCCGCTGCTGCTGCCGATGGCTGAAGATACAGTACACTCAACGTGGCTTTGCTTTGAGCAACCAGTGTGGTTCAATCTGTATAATGATACAGCAGACATGCACGAGCAGACAAAAACACCAAACATCACACATGAACGCATGCACATACCCGCATACACCGGCGCACACATGTCCGCAAACACAAACATACCCACACAGACGAGAAATGGCGAACGAAAAAAGAAATGAATGCTAGTAAGTAGAAGCAAACATCACAACAGAGAAAAGAACATGCATCATTATTAGGGCTGAGTCGGGTAGCATTTTCTTCGGGTATCGGGTCCGAGTAGTTTTCCACGGGTAGCACGGGTACCCGATCGGGTAATGTTTCCATAGTAAGACCACAATGCACACCGGCCCCTTCCCTTGCGCATTGGGTAGACATGCGTGAATTATTTGTACACGTGCACTGTACATGATGTCATCTGCGACCTCGAGTTTTCGGGTACTATTCGGTACCCGACTACCCGAGGTTCTGAGGGGTAGCACGGGTACCCGACTACCCGTGCACACCACTAATCATTATGCATGGTGAGGGAGGGAGGGAGGGAGGTCAACTGTGCTGGACTGTGACTATGATGACTGTGACTATGGTGACTGTGATTATGGTGACTGTTACTATGGTGACTGTGACTATGGTGACTGTAACTATGGTGACTGTGACCATGGTGACTGTGACTATGGTGACTGTGACTATGGTGACTGTAACTATGCAGGACTGTACTGGACTATAACTGTGCTGGAATGGGAATGTGGTGACTGCCTTGACTGTACTGGACTGTGTCAGGGGATTGTGGTGATTGTACTGGACTGTGTCAGGGGATTGTGGTGATTGTACTGGACTGTGCCAGGGGATTGTGGTGATTGTACTGGACTGTGCCAGGGGATTGTGGTGATTGTACTGGACTGTGCCAGGGGATTGTGGTGATTGTACTGGACTGTGTCAGGGGATTGTGGTGATTGTACTGGACTGTGCCAGGGGATTGTGGTGATTGTACTGGACTGTGCCGGGGTATTGTGCTGGTGACTGTACTGGACTGTGCCAGGGGATTGTGGTGATTGTACTGGACTGTGCCAGGGGATTGTGGTGATTGTACTGGACTGTGTCAGGGGATTGTGGTGATTGTACTGGACTGTGCCAGGGGATTGTGGTGATTGTACTGGACTGTGCCAGGGGATTGTGGTGATTGTACTGGACTGTGCCGGGGTATTGTGCTGGTGACTGTACTGGACTGTGCCAGGGGATTGTGGTGATTGTACTGGACTGTGTCAGGGGATTGTGGTGATTGTACTGGACTGTGCCAGGGGATTGTGGTGATTGTACTGGACTGTGCCAGGGGATTGTGGTGATTGTACTGGACTGTGCCAGGGGATTGTGGTGATTGTACTGGACTGTGCCGGGGGATTGTGGTGATTGTACTGGACTGTGTCAGGGGATTGTGGTGATTGTACTGGACTGTGCCAGGGGATTGTGGTGATTGTACTGGACTGTGTCAGGGGATTGTGGTGATTGTACTGGACTGTGCCAGGGGATTGTGGTGATTGTACTGGACTGTGCCAGGGGATTGTGGTGATTGTACTGGACTGTGCCAGGGGATTGTGGTGATTGTACTGGACTGTGTCAGGGGATTGTGGTGATTGTACTGGACTGTGCCAGGGGATTGTGGTGATTGTACTGGACTGTGCCGGGGGATTGTGGTGATTGTACTGGACTGTGTCAGGGGATTGTGGTGACTGTACTGGACTGTACCAGGGGATTGTGGTGATTGTACTGGACTGTGCCAGGGGAATGTGGTGATTGTACTGGACTGTGCCAGGGGATTGTGGTGATTGTACTGGACTATGCCAGGGGATTGTGGTGATTGTACTGGACTGTGCCAGGGGATTGTGGTGATTGTACTGGACTGTACCAGGGGATTGTGGTGATTGTACTGGACTGTACCAGGGGATTGTGGTGATTGTACTGGACTGTGCCAGGGGATTGTGGTGATTGTACTGGACTGTGCCAGGGGATTGTGGTGATTGTACTGGACTGTGTCAGGGGATTGTGGTGATTGTACTGGACTGTGCCAGGGGATTGTGGTGATTGTACTGGACTGTGCCAGGGGATTGTGGTGAGTGTACTGGACTGTACCAGGGGATTGTGGTGACTGTACTGGACTGTGTCAGGGGATTGTGGTGATTGTACTGGACTGTGCCAGGGGATTGTGGTGAGTGTACTGGACTGTACCAGGGGATTGTGGTGATTGTACTGGACTGTGCCAGGGGATTGTGGTGATTGTACTGGACTGTGCCAGGGGATTGTGGTGATTGTACTGGACTGTGTCAGGGGATTGTAGTGATTGTACTGGACTGTGCCAGGGGATTGTGGTGATTGTACTGGACTGTGTCAGGGGATTGTGGTGATTGTACTGGACTGTGTCAGGGGATTGTAGTGATTGTACTGGACTGTGCCAGGGGATTGTGGTGATTGTACTGGACTGTGCCAGGGGATTGTGGTGATTGTACTGGACTGTGCCAGGGGATTGTGGTGATTGTACTGGACTGTGCCAGGGGATTGTGTTGATTGTGCTGGACTGTGCCAGGGGATTGTGGTGATTGTACTGGACTGTGCCGGGGGATTGTGGTGATTGTGCTGGACTGTGCCAGGGGATTGTGGTGATTGTACTGGACTGTGCCAGGGGATTGTGGTGATTGTACTGGACTGTGGCAGGGGATTGTGGTGATTGTACTGGACTGTACCAGGGGATTGTGGTGATTGTACTGGACTGTGTCAGGGGATTGTGGTGATTGTACTGGACTGTGCCAGGGGATTGTGGTGATTGTACTGGACTGTACCAGGGGATTGTGGTGATTGTACTGGACTGTACCAGGGGATTGTGGTGATTGTACTGGACTGTGTCAGGGGATTGTGGTGATTGTACTGGACTGTGTCAGGGGATTGTGGTGATTGTACTGGACTGTACCAGGGGATTGTGGTGATTGTACTGGACTGTGCCAGGGGATTGTGGTGATTGTACTGGACTGTGTCAGGGGATTGTGGTGATTGTACTGGACTGTGTCAGGGGATTGTGGTGATTGTACTGGACTGTGCCAGGGGATTGTGGTGATTGTACTGGACTGTGTCAGGGGATTGTGGTGATTGTACTGGACTGTGCCGGGGGATTGTGGTGATTGTACTGGACTGTACCAGGGGATTGTGGTGATTGTACTGGACTGTGCCAGGGGATTGTGGTGATTGTACTGGACTGTGCCAGGGGATTGTGGTGATTGTACTGGACTGTGCCAGGGGATTGTGGTGATTGTACTGGACTGTGTCAGGGGATTGTGGTGATTGTACTGGACTGTGTCAGGGGATTGTGGTGATTGTACTGGACTGTGTCAGGGGATTGTAGTGATTGTACTGGACTGTGCCAGGGGATTGTGGTGACTGTACTGGACTGTACCAGGGGATTGTGGTGATTGTACTGGACTGTGCCAGGGGAATGTGGTGATTGTACTGGACTGTGCCAGGGGATTGTGGTGATTGTACTGGACTATGCCAGGGGATTGTGGTGATTGTACTGGACTGTGCCAGGGGATTGTGGTGATTGTACTGGACTGTACCAGGGGATTGTGGTGATTGTACTGGACTGTACCAGGGGATTGTGGTGATTGTACTGGACTGTGCCAGGGGATTGTGGTGATTGTACTGGACTGTGCCAGGGGATTGTGGTGATTGTACTGGACTGTGCCAGGGGATTGTGGTGATTGTACTGGACTGTGTCAGGGGATTGTGGTGATTGTACTGGACTGTGTCAGGGGATTGTGGTGACTGTACTGGACTGTACCAGGGGATTGTGGTGACTGTACTGGACTGTACCAGGGGATTGTGGTGATTGTACTGGACTGTGCCAGGGGAATGTGGTGATTGTACTGGACTGTGCCAGGGGATTGTGGTGATTGTACTGGACTATGCCAGGGGATTGTGGTGATTGTACTGGACTGTGCCAGGGGATTGTGGTGATTGTACTGGACTGTACCAGGGGATTGTGGTGATTGTACTGGACTGTACCAGGGGATTGTGGTGATTGTACTGGACTGTGCCAGGGGATTGTGGTGATTGTACTGGACTGTGCCAGGGGATTGTGGTGATTGTACTGGACTGTGTCAGGGGATTGTGGTGATTGTACTGGACTGTGCCAGGGGATTGTGGTGATTGTACTGGACTGTACCAGGGGATTGTGGTGACTGTACTGGACTGTGCCAGGGGATTGTGGTGATTGTACTGGACTGTGCCAGGGGATTGTGGTGATTGTACTGGACTGTACCAGGGGATTGTGGTGATTGTACTGGACTGTACCAGGGGATTGTGGTGATTGTACTGGACTGTGTCAGGGGATTGTGGTGATTGTACTGGACTGTGCCAGGGGATTGTGGTGATTGTACTGGACTGTACCAGGGGATTGTGGTGATTGTACTGGACTGTACCAGGGGATTGTGGTGATTGTACTGGACTGTGTCAGGGGATTGTGGTGATTGTACTGGACTGTGTCAGGGGATTGTGGTGATTGTACTGGACTGTACCAGGGGATTGTGGTGATTGTACTGGACTGTGCCAGGGGATTGTGGTGATTGTACTGGACTGTGTCAGGGGATTGTGGTGATTGTACTGGACTGTGTCAGGGGATTGTGGTGATTGTACTGGACTGTGCCAGGGGATTGTGGTGATTGTACTGGACTGTGTCAGGGGATTGTGGTGATTGTACTGGACTGTGCCGGGGGATTGTGGTGATTGTACTGGACTGTACCAGGGGATTGTGGTGATTGTACTGGACTGTGCCAGGGGATTGTGGTGATTGTACTGGACTGTGCCAGGGGATTGTGGTGATTGTACTGGACTGTGCCAGGGGATTGTGGTGATTGTACTGGACTGTGTCAGGGGATTGTGGTGATTGTACTGGACTGTGTCAGGGGATTGTGGTGATTGTACTGGACTGTGTCAGGGGATTGTAGTGATTGTACTGGACTGTGCCAGGGGATTGTGGTGATTGTAC